TGGTGACAATGGCGAACGGACTCGAGATCCGAACAGAAAGTAGTGCCAGCTGAGTCAGCATCCCATGCCCAGGGATCTTTCAGAAAGTCCCGACATCCCCTCATTTCCACAGCATGGATTACTGGAGGGCCTTGGAGAAGGTCACAACGCAGGTCCCATCTTTAAGAACAAGTTCTCCAATGCATGTTCTTTGCCTCCTGCAAGATAAGAGGAGTGTGCAAGAGCATGCTGAGGGTGGCTGGCCCCATAAGGCCCAAGTGGAGTGACTTCTGCCCAGCAGCACGTGTGGAGCCACCTACCAACTCCCAGCGAGGGCACTGCCCTCAGGGTTTACTCCGGTGGACGACGGCACTACATTCAACTGGAAAGAACTGGGAAGAACCGCTCATGTAGCAGGGTGATCTATGGCTGCTGTTTCTGTTTGGGGGTTTGGTTAGGTATCAGTGTGATCCACGATGGCTGTTGGGTTCTTTATAACAGCACTTTGGGATATTAAGCTAGAAGAGGATGTCAGTGTGGCAGGTACCACTTGTAAAAGTTCACCTTGAATAACACACAGGAAAGATTCTGAAGTTATCTAGTTCATTTCTGACCACTGTAAACAGCCAATCTAAGTAAGTGTCCCGTTGGGCTTTGGGGCAGTAACTGCTTGACTGCCCCTGCAACTGAAAATAACTTATCACTAGCAAAGCCACCTCTTGGAGTTATTTAAATGGTCTGGATGTTCAAAATATTACACGAGGGGAAACACATTGTGATGTTTTTAAACCCCACGAGGAAGCGAGGGTTAGGGTGACTCGTAGAGGCGTGAATCGGTTAAGTGGCACATTGTATGGGGGCTCCCCCAGCCTGTTTCCTGGCAGGCCCAGAGAGACCCCAGTTCTGCAACCCTGTCCCAGGCCCTAAGGTCGGGGGCAACCATTGCGGTCCCTGTGTGTGGGGTGTGCGAGAGCGACGCTAGAGGTAGTGGAGCCAAGAAGGGACAGAAGTTCTGGGCCAGCAGCCTTGGGCAGGTTGGTTGCCTTTCTTGCAGTTCAGTACTGTAAAACCCTATGGTGATGGTTACTCCTGCAGTTCTCTGTCGCAGAGACAATGTGGAGACAAACAAGGGAGCCGATGCAAAAGTACTTTGGGAAAATGACAGACACTGCTTCTCGTAGACACAGGCTCTTATTCCAGCAGCGGAGGGGGCAGGGCCTGACACTGAGAGTTCCTTCCGCGTGCCAGGCACTGGGTAGAAACTTACACGTGGGATCTGCTTTAATTCTCACAACCACTTAGGCGTGAAGTTTCCACGTTAGGAAACTGAACCTCAGAAAGGGAAAGTAACTTAACTCCAAATCCTCAAATTCCAGTCTATTTACATCACACTGCCTTGTCTTTAAAATAAACGATTGGAGCTTCTTCTAATTATGAACAAAATACATGGGCAGTCAGAAAACTTCCAAGCACAGAAAAGCACAACAAGAAAGTTTAAAATGTACATAAATTCATGACTCAAAGATAACTTCAGTTCACGTCTTTTTGTGGTCCTTCCTTTGTTCCTTCTATGCACTAAGATTTTTTAAAAATAAAAATGAGTTCTTACTGCACCCACTATTTTGTAGCACATTACTCATCAAAGAAAGGCCCATGGCGCTTCCTCAGCACCACCAGGGAGCTGGTTAGAAATGCAAGAAACTGCTGGGTACGGTGGCTTGTAATCCCAGCACTTTGGGAGGTAGAGGCGTGAGAACTGCCTGAGCTCAGGGGTTTGCGACCAGCCTGGGCAACGTGGCAAGATCTCGTCTCTACAAAAAGTCAAAAAATTAGCCAGACGTGGTGACGCATGCCTGTATTCCAGCTACTTGGAGGGCTGAGGTGGAAGGACCTCCTGAGCCTAACAGATGAAGGCTGCGGTGCCACTGCACTCCAGCCTGGGCAACAGAGTGAGACTCTGACTCAAAAAAAAAAAAGCAAGAATTGCAGGCCCCAGCCTAGACTTACTGAAGCAGAATCTGTGTTAAGCCAGCTCTTCAGATGATGGGGATGCATACTAACTTTTAGAAGCACTACTTCCTTCCACCCCTTGCAATGTGTTGTGGGCATTCGCCCATGTCAGTGACTATTTTCCTATGACATGATTTTTAGTGACTGTGTATCATTCCCTTATATGGCTATGTCCTGACACCATGATCAGCCTCCTGTTTATGCCTTCTATGGAGGGGCATTTCCAGGAACCTACTATGGGGAGTGCTTGGTTATCACCTTAGGACAAATTCCCCAGAAGTGGAATTACTAGAGCAGCAGGTTTGCCACATGCTGCTGGATTGCTAGCCCAGAAAGGATGTAATTTGACTGGCCACTCAGACTCTTGGCTTGGGTTTCTTAGGAGGCTGCTGCCATCATGGGTGAGAGCTCATACGTGGGTGGGGTACGGGCCTTACTTAATTGGAGTGTCAGGTTTTCACTGATTAGCACAGTCTTCTTGGACTGGTTACTTAACCTCTCAGATCCTCTATTTTCATGCCTGCAAAAAAGAGATGTACCATTTAGCTCACACACAGGTGGTTGTGAGCCTTAAATGAAGGTGAATAGAAACCATTGGACCTGGGAGATGCTACATTCTCTTTCCTCTGAATGAAATAAGCCCCAGGCCTAAGGGGATCCTAGCACAAAGCCTTTAGATTTGTTTGCATAAAAGATTTTCTGCTTATAAATTGCATTTTAATAGATACACATGGGTGTCATTGGTCTTTTAGGTTGGTTACAGGGAATGTATAGCTTGGTTACTTCAGGGAGGGCAAAGAAAGAAAATTACTGAGCAGTTTGCCTAAAATTGAGCAGAGACGTGAAATGTGCAAACCATGCTGTGGAGAACAGGTTGTGAGGTGTTGGAGGGGGCAGTGAGAGGTGTGTGCATGTGTGTGCGCATGCATGTGCGTGGACTGCATCAAGGCCTTTAGCATGTCTTGCCCCGCCCCCCCAGCTCTTCGGCAAACCTCTCAGTCCCTGGGCATTCATCAATGAGACCAAAAGACGCAACACTGCTTCTCCTTGTGGGGTTTATCTCAGTCTGAGGTGGTGTCTCGTTGGCCCACTGTCCTGGATCTTTGATACGTGTTGCCGGATTGCTAGCCCAGAAAGGATGTAATTTGATCACTCCAATTCTTGGCTTGGGTTTCTTAGGAGGCTGCTGCCATAATGGGCGAGAGCTCACACTTGGGTGGGGTACGGGCCTTACTTAATTGGAGTGTCAGATTTTCATTGATTAGCACAGTCATCTTGGACTGGTTGCTTAACCTCTCAGATCCTTGATTTCCCCACCTGCAAAAAAGAGATGTACCATTTAACTCAGAGGTGGTTGTGAGCCTTAAATGAAGGTGAATAGAAACCACTGGACCTGGGAGGTGTTCATTCCCTCTCCTCTGAATGAAATGAGCCCCGGGCCTAAGGGGATCCAGGACGTAGCCATATAAGGTGACACAGTGCTCAAGAGACTTCTAAGGGGCCACCGCAGCTGTGAGAAGGCAGGTCACATGACCAGAGCAGGTATAGTGGGCTTCGAGCTCAATCTAGCTGACTGAGCAGGTTGGAATTGCTGTTGTGGATCTTGTGGGGTTTGGCCTTCTTTGCCACTGGGCAGAGAGTCCTGGCAGCTGAGACACTCCTCAGAAGCATTAGCCCTGGGGCCCAGCCCCTGTCCCTTCAATAATCCACTCTGCTGTGTGGGTCCCTGCAGCACCTCCCAGGAGACAGGGGACTCCCTGGCAGGCTGTTGTTCCCGTCCACAGAAGGCTGAATTACTGGCAGGGGGACAACAGGCTTGCAGACTTTAACCACATACAGGGAGAGTGTGTATGACGACCTTCAGAGCACTCAATTATTGTCCTCCGAGTTCATCTCTGAACTCACTGCTTTCTTTTGTCACTGTCAAATGTGTTTTTATACTTCATTATTTAAATTGTGAGCCATTTGACTAGAACTCTATGTACAGTTGCCTTTTGGAAAACAAAAAAGCAAGCTAGCACATTTTAAGAACCATCTTCAGAAGTTGCCCTTGCTGCTGCCTGCTCCTGGGTTTTAGAAATACAGAATTGCACCTGCTGCCCAGAGCTTCTGTCAACACTCCAGACGTTGCCTGGCAACTGCTGACTATCCGGGTTGTGGTTGCAGCCATCAGACTCAGGACGAACTTGAGTCAAGGTGGAGTTGCGAAGCTGGTTGCAGGAGTCTATTATTTTGAAGTGGCAGCTGCAGGCAATCAGAGAGGACATCGCATCACCAGGGCGGGTGGCTTTGTCACGTGAGGAGGCTGGGTCACCTAGTCAGGCAAACTCAGTTGGCAATTTCTCTTGGGCAGGCGTGGTCTGAGCACCTGCCAGGTGTGGTCTCCAGCAGGGAGGGCTGGAAGTCCCATTAGTGCCACAATGAGTGGGGGTTAGCAGGTGCCTGGCTAATGAAGCATTTGGAAGTTCCCAGGAAAGTAGTTCCCAAAACATATCTAGGGCTCGAGGTAACATGTTGGGCCTGTAAAGAAAAAGAAAAAGAAAAATAAGGCTAGAGAGCGAGGGTGCAGGGACAGAGACAAGCGTGTCCCCTCACCTAGTCACTTGCTCTGCAGATGGCAAATGTACGTCCAGGAAAGCAGGAGGGGCTGTGTGGTTTTGGTGCTGGAATGAGAGCGGAGAGCCCTGGGCTTGGGTGTGTTTGGCTCAGAATCTGTTTCAGACTTTCTCAGCGTTAGGTCTTCTTTCTTCCTGGGACCTGCCCTCACTCGGGTGGGAAGTGCAGCCTCAGCCCGTCACTGCCCTTTGCCTGCTTCCATGGTGAGCGTCATAAAACAAAGCCTAGGCTTGTTATTTTTCATCCTCAGCAATTCAGCAGTGACTCCAATCACAGAAGGGAGGCAGGTGACGACGACTCCACTCCAACTCCCTGAAGAGCCAGGCCACCCCCACCCTTTGGCCTTCAGGGCTTGGAGTGGAAGAAGGAAGTGCCTGAGTTTCTTAGGCGGCTTTTGTGTGCCGGCGCACCTGCCCAAGGAGCTCTCGGGACGGGACCAGGAGTACAGGGTTGGCAGAAGCCCCACTTCTTGTGACCTGCGGGTGTTGCTGGAGGCGACGGGCATGAGAGTTCTTGCTGAGCACCCAGGGGTGTCCTGCGGGCCCTAGGCCAGTCGGAGGAGGACAGGAGGGCCCACTCTTCTTCCTGCTGTTAGCTTCCAGGAGAATGAAAGAACCAGAGGGTCATGCCACGCTCGGGAAGATGGCTGCCTTTTACCAGTGCATCAGGCCTGACCCCAGGTGGGCCTGCTCAGAGCAAAGAGGTGGTGGGGGGAGAGAGAAGGGAGGGGAGGCCATGATGCAATTACCAGGGCATGGGTGGCCACCATCCCCTGGGGCCGACAGATGAACCTTCAGCATCTATTGTCTTATGTTCTGGAACATTTATGACGTCCTTTCTTACAGACCTTGTTTATTTTGGTTTTGCTTTTTGTTTGAGAAAGCAGGATTTATTGAGAGGACAAAAAAACCTCCCAGAGTCGGAGGGGACTTGAGGGGGTTGCCTCCAACCTTGTTTTATCTCCTTAAATTGTGTAAATTCTGGAGCAGAATAACCATTTTCTTTGTTTTCTTTATGACACACACACTGATAGAGAAAAGAGGGAGAGAAGGGAGAGGGAGAAGGGAGGAGCGCTGAGTAAACAGAGCATTTCTTTCTTATTGTCCTATGCCTGCAATTTGATCTCCATGACACAGTTGATGTAGTTTGAGTGGTGAGAAGGCAGCAGAGGTCAACGTAAAAAGACATGATTCTTCTTGTGCCTAAATCTCAGCACCCAAAGGCTTGCTCTCAACTGACAGCCACAGCCCTGGGAGACGCCTGCCTGAACTCCCTGCACAGAGCCACCTTTGCCCCGCTGTAGGTGACTTTATCCCTGGAAGGTGTTTGAGCTCTCAGCGCATTTTGATTCTGTGCACAATGGTACAGAGAGAAGTAGAGCTCTGCTTGATTTAAATGTACTTGCTTAGCATAAATAAACAGCTGTGTGTTTCTCATACCCCAAATGGAAAATGCTTAATATGGCAGCCTCTGTCAATACAGGTCATTGTTACATCTGCATATCATCTGGGCTGGGTGGGCAGTCTGGGGAAATTGATGCTGCGTCTTCGGAAGGACCCACCCGCAACCTGGCAGTGTGGCAGTGGGAAGTCTGTGGGATGCTCAGGACGTTGGGGCAGACAGTCCGTTCCCTCACTTTCGTCTTTTGTTACAAAAGTGTAGCTCAACCGCTCAGGGCTTCCTTGTGAACACAGGGATTTGTACTGGACCAAGCCCTGTGCGTGTAAGTCATTATTATGTTAACTTTCATAAGAAATCTTTTTATTAATAATCCAACCTCAGTGTCTAGTTCTGCCTATTTTAAGTGGGCCAGGATAGAGTGGTGGTGTTATATCTTCTTGTTAATAGGTTTTGGAGGCTGGGCGTGGTGGTTCGGTCCTGTAATCCCAGCACTTTGGGACGCTGAGGCAAGAGGATTGTCTGAGCCCATGGGTTCAAGACCAGCCTGGGCAACTTGGTGAGACCTCGTCTCTACAATATATCAAAAAATTAGCTGGGTGTGGTAGTGCGCGCCTGTAGTTCCAGCTGATTGGAAGACTGAGGCAGAGAATCGCCAGAGCCCAGCGGGTTGCAGCTGGGGTGGCCGTGAGCGTGCCACTGCACTCCAGGTTAGGCAACAGAGTGAGACTCTGACTCAAAAAAAAATAGACTTTGGAGCATGACTTCTTACTAAAAACGAACAAACAACTCAGCTCTGTATCTGCAAAAATGCCAATTATATATGTAGCATTCTAGACAAAGTAAGCATTATTTTTGGCTCTATCTGTACATACACAGGAGGTGCCAAAAATGTATACACATTGTAAGAGATGTTATCTATGTATTACTTTTCAATACATGTTATCTATGCATTATTGTTCAATTCAAGTTGAATTGAATTATGGTAGCAATGTGTAGTATGACGTTCACTACTGTGCTTCCACCATTTTCTTTGACAGTCCTGCCTGTCACATGGTGACACTAGCATTCATTTGATTAATGCCTTTTGAGCAAGCATCATACTTAAAATGTGTATACTTTTTTTCTGGCACCCCGTGTGTGTTGTGTGTGTATGTGTGTGTGAGAGAAAAAAAGAGAGTGTATTGATCTCAATAAACTTATGAAGTTGAAAATAAGCCAGCCCTTGTAAAACTGTCCCTGTGCCCTGAGCTCACGGTTGTTCATGACATGAGCGTGAAGCAATCAGCATGAGGTACAGCTCTTACTCTGAGATTGAAAGTTTCCAAGTTAGCTGACATCTTTTCAAGATACTCCCCAGCGTTAGAATGAATTTATATTGTATTTCCCCAGGAATTATGCAAATAAAATTTCTAAAATAAGGTTATAAAGTTTGAAGCTCTGATACTTAGCTATTTTTAAAATAATGGTTTTGTAAAAGTCGAGAATAGATTTTTTTTTACTCTAATAACCTGAAAATGTCTAAACTAATGTTTTTCAGATCTCATATGAAAGCACTCACCTCTGCATGAGTGAAAACAGACTGCTCTTGTGAAAGCTGTCATGCATTGCAGTCTAATAAGACATGACTTTTATTCAGGTGTGTTCGGGTAGGCTCAGGCTGCCCAGGTGAATGTGTACATAGGCTCATCTGTGCATATGTGTGCACATACACCATTTTGGACAGCCACGTGCATGCCTAGCTAAGTAACTTCATTTGCCCATTTATAAGGATTCTAAATATCATTAAATCAACTGTTAGGTGGGTAATTTCCAGAAAACAGAGTTGTTTATGTTGTTATCTAAGAAAACATTTATATACTTTTAATAGTGTATCTTATAAAAGATCTTATTTATATGCTTATATGCTGATGGAATGAAACTGGGGTATTTCTTGGCAAAGAAGCAGCCTAGTGAGCTGTGGCCGACCGCCTCACTTTCTTCAGAGGCCCTCACTGTCGTCGCCCTGCCCATGGCCAATGGGAGGCGTGAGGAGGGAGCAAGACCTCTAAGCAGAGACCTCTCTGCATCCGTGTTCCTTTACTCCCAAACTGTGGGGGTTTCACCCATAGGGTAGGTGACATTTCAAGGAGGACACTGGACAAGAAGAGCTCGGGCTAAAGAAATGTGATCCAAGTGGCAGATTTGAAGGAAGCCTGCCCTTGAGACATTGATGTGCGAGGTGGCCTCTGGACCTGTGGATGGGTAGTTAATGCCATCTCGTTTTTAGCAGGAAGTGATTCTTTCACCTAGGAAGTGCTGCTAAGTGCTCTGCTTCACTCGTCCATTCATTCATTTCACAATATTTATTGAGCATCTGCTGTGCGGCAGCGTCATGCATGTAACCTGTTCTTTATCCTCGGAGTTAGTCTTCGAGTTTTACATAGCAAAAAAGGGGATGACTCACTTTTCCAGGCCAAGCCTTAGTTTAGTTAGCAACAACAACAAAAAAGATCAGCAGTAATTCTGGGACGTGAAGAGACTTCAAAACTTGACCAGCCGAGTTTTCTTTTCCTCTCCCTTCTGGTTCTGCTCAGCGCTCTGTCACTTAGCATCTGAGTATTCTCTGGTTTCAGCCCTTTGGTTATGAGATTTCCTCGCTTGCTTTTCTCTCATATGTTAGAGAAGATCTTTCCCTCCTCCCTGTCCTTCCTGACCGGTGGACAGAAGGGGTTTTACACATACCTAGTTGTACACTAAAAAGCAGGAGGTCTTCTGGCACCTTCAGGGATAACTGATTGGCTTCTGTGAGGTGTAATCCTCATGCCCCTGCCACTTTGGGATGAGTATAGCAGTTGAGTCCCTCTGCTCTTGAGGATAATAATATTAAGCAGCAAGCTGGCACAATTTTTAAACAGAGATTTCTCACAGGAACTTTGTGAGCATTTCACATTCCATTTGCTTCAGTAATGTGAAACTTATTTTTCTAAAAAAAGGTACAGGCAGATCTTGGCGTGACTCACTAGAGAACAATAGTTAAGTCATAATTTATTTTCATCTTTTTCCCCAAGAAAAAGAAAAATTGATTAAATATATATGAAATGAAAGAAAGCATAAATCTGTAAAGGAGAACTGGATCAGAGAATCACACAAACATATCTGCATTAAAACTTATAGGTTTTGTGAACAAGTGACAGGGGCCACTGCAGTGTGTCACAGGAGGCCTTGAGTTACCCTGAAGGGACAGATGGGTCTCCCCAGGGAAGTGGAATTGAAGCTGGAATCTGAAGAATGAGTAGGAGTTAGCAAGACCAAAGTAGAGCATGAGGGCAGGGAATATCGTGTTCAAGCAGAGGGAACAACATCTGCAGAGGCTCTAGGCTGGAAAGGAATGGAGTGTTAAGGGGGGAGGGAGAACAGGGCTAAGACACGCGTTGTGCCAGTGTGCGTGGGGCATCAAGTTAGGATCCAGCCCGCCTCCCTCTCTTGTCGATATTTAGATCTACCCACGTTTATGTGATTACATCCTTCTTCCTTTAATATTATTTTTGTGTGTGTTTTGGAAGTCAAGTATATCAAGTCTTCTTTTCTGAAAGCATCTTTTATCCTTTTTTGGATAATATTTTTTTAGCAGCCTTGTTGGCATGTAATTTTTGTACTATAATTAGTTTACCTGTTTCAAGTGTATAATCGATGACTTTTCGTATATTTACAGCGTCGTGTACCTGTGAACACAGTCTATTTTAGCATCTCCCCTAAAAGAAACCGTGTGTCCATGAGCCGTTACCTCCCGTTCCACCTCCCTTTCCCCAGCACCCCTCTCCTCAACTTTAGGTCACCATTCATCTGCTTTCTGTCTCTGTGGATTTGCCTATTCTGGACATTTCATTTCAGTAAAATCATACAGTATGTGATCTTCTGCAACTGACTTCCTTCACTTAGTATAATATGCTCAAGCTTTATCCAGATTGTGGCATGTATCATTATTTTATTCTTTTTATTGGTGAATAATGTTTCGTTATATGTGTATAACGCATTTTCTATCTATCCATCTGAAGATGGATATTTGGGTTATTTCCACTTTTTGATTATTATATAATTAATGCTGCTATGAACATTGATATGATGTTTTTGGGGTTTTTTTCATTTCTATTGTGATAAGATACACATAACATAAAATTTACCATCTTAATCATTTTTAAGTGTACAGTTCAGTGGTATTGAGTCATGATCACCCATCCATCTCCAGAACTCTTTTCATCTTGCAAAATGGAAATACTGTGTCCATTTAAAAATAACTTCC